ATCGAGTTTTATACCTTTTGCAGAGAATTCCTTGCCCTACACGATAGTCTTCTTAGTTTTCTTCAAGTTTCTCTTTCCACTAATATTTAAGTGCTCAAACTGGAGTGTCAGGTCGACGAAATTGAGCATTTTCGACAGCCTCTCTTTTATACCTCTAATTAAAAAGCTAAAACCGCATGGGCCCACCTGCTAAGTATATGGCTGAAAGGCTACGCTTCTTAGGAATGCTTTAAGTGATTCGAAGATTTTAGTTTTGGTCCCACAGACAAGCAAGCGCCAAACCTAATGCTCTATTCTGTCCAACTGAGAGCTTACGGAATTACCTTATTAACTGAGAATCATGCCAAAGATTGAGGGATCGTTAGAGGTCATAGAATGCTTCCTTATCATTATCAACCACCACCCTCAGTTGATGTTAGACGTTCGAAATAAGTGGGTAGGTTCTGCAGGCAGTCCCTCCCCAAGAGGATCCTCACTGATGCGATGCTCTTTTACAAGGTCCGAATTCCCATGTCTTGATCGCTTGAACCAACTTCAAGCTGTCGAGACGCATCTTTCTTTGGTCATATATATCACAAGGTTCGAGCTTCTTCTGTAATTGAGAGCCGAGATAAAGTGCAAAAAGTAGTTGTCGAAAACTCACTTCACGGTCGACCCGAAGCGGAAAATTATCTATCAAACAGTGCAGAACATAGTGGGAACATTTATCATTTTCCCTATAAAAATTTGTGTGACAAAAAAGCACCATTTCTTATGGGCCAACCTAATATCTGCATATGGAAAGTTGAACCTTCTTGCGCTGATCAATGTTTGTGGGATATGCCGCGCATCCGACTTCCCTTCAGAATCGCGGTGGCATCTAAAATTCCTTTTGTCTTGGGGAATGATCTTACGAAATGCGTTGGTATAAGCGTGACACTTGAAAATCGTAACTACGGGTTCGAGTCCCCTCTAAGGCTAAAGATTTTGCTCAGCATTCTTGTCATAGCGAGTTCGTTGCGAAAAGCAGCGATAACCTTCAGATAACGAGTGGCACAACTGATAAATGGTCTTTAATGTCGGAACGTCCATTCAACCTTACCATTAACACCTGGCAGCAGCTACGAGTCGGTAGCTTACAGATGAAAGGTCAGTTCTCTATCTGTCGACGAGTTCTGTTTGATTGAACCGCCAGATTGGACTCAATTCAGAAAAAGATGGCTGTCCCGGATTCCAGTCCAACATCACACACAACACTCCAGGACGTTGGTTTAAGTTTGCCAATGGATTTATGACGGCTATCATCGGCGATGTAGATAAGTCAACTAGAGGGGTAGGTAGACAAGGGCGCTTGCTCAATATAGGTCCTCAGCACTGGCTGGTGACGTTGCAGTCAGTCGGGGAGGTGTCGGAAGGGCGACAGGGTCGGAACAAGGCCATTGCCGGCCGCCTTGCTCCAACAATGGTGATTAGTTGGCGATCAGTCCAAGAAGAAAACCACCAATGGTGGGACACTCAGTCCATCCTTTTTCAGACCGCCCCGATTGATTGCGACTATATCAGCTGTAGGTCGTCACGACAAGTGACGACCGTTGCATAACAGCTCAGCTCATGCAGAGCACGTCGTACACTGACGATCCCCACAAAGAAGGTCGTAGTTGCCGGAAGAAGGAGTCGTGCTATGCAAAAAGTTCCCTCAACGGCGGAACTGCCCTGAGTTCATGACATCCGACGAGCGGCATCGCGCGTAAACTAGCAGAGCAGTTCCTAAAACTGGGTATTATTATCCCTGTAAACGAGAGGACGTGTGTAGGGGGGGGCATGGGTTGGAGAGCAGCCACGATGCCTTTTTTGTTCCATTGTTGTCCACGACTTGGAAAGCACAAAAGATAGATGCGCAAAAGGCTGTCCTGGCTGGCGCTCCATTCACCCCCCCCCCCTCCCCTTCACACGGCCTTCTCGTTGTGCAGTTGAGTACTGACCTGCAGACGACTCGGACGCGTTGTACTTGATTGCATATTTGAGTGACGTTGAGGTCCTCGTTCTGAAAACTTGCACCTTGGCACTGCTTCACTCGTATAGCTTGTTTGCTGCGCGGCCGCGGCGGTATGTCTTAAGGCCAGTTAGCCACCGAATGGTTTTCCTACTTAAACCTAGAATTGCTAGTAGGGCGCTGTATAGTGGGAAAATGGCGAAAGAACGGAGTGAAACGGTCAAAATCCTGCGAAGAAAAAGCCTCCGTTCTCAGTGACTTGTAAATCGATTTCGGACGAGTTTCCCGTAGGCATCTCACCGGCCGCTTCATACCAATCCCTTCGCTTCATAATTTGCTTAGCAAATGAATGAATACGAGCGTCAGGAACGGTCGTCCATTTGTGGGCGGGGGCGTGGCGGGCGTTTGGGACGTAATGTTGTGGCTTGATAGGGCCCTTATAAGGGCACCTTCCTCGGGGAAACCGCTATGCAGCGCCTGCCCAGGGTCGCGGAATTCTATCCTGCCAGGAGTATATTGATCCTTATGTTTAGTCGTCTGTGGGGAGATTGTATGCGTGCCAACTGCCTTTAGCTACACCCCATTTCCTTCACGTAACGCGGACCAGGAGCTCTGGTGTGGCTTGGGGTTATTCCACTCATTGCAGGAACCCTTATTTCACTGACTAAATGGAAAGGTGTTTCCAGTACTAAGTACCGTCCAACATCAAAAAAGAAAACAGAGAAGCAAACTGACCCGGATATTTGAGACTCGCCTTATTGAGCGAAGAGAAAAATACAGGGTGGGGGCGGGCGGCAAAAAAAGATACTTTTTTTCTTCTAAGGTTCCAACAACAATTGTTCAGTCATGATACCCGACAAAGCCCTTCTGGAAGAAACGCCATCGAGAGATTCTGCCCACGCGACCGTTTGAGGCGGTGCCTTGAATTCAAGCGAGTTCCTTGAGTTCTCCGCAACTGTAGACCGACCTGTTTGAACACACCGCTCAAATCCGGTATTCGGGAGGTTCGGGTCAGATGACACAATTGATATCTCTTCTTCGGGTACTCAACGCCCTTCCAAGCAGGCGAGAACTTCGATTCCATGTGCTGGCACCCAATCCCGCAGCAGTACAATGTTACCAAAGTGTACAGGTGACGACATGAGGGGGTACCTGAGGGAGTAGCTCGATGTAACCGCCAGCGCTCACCTTCAGTCCGGGGTCCACGAAGAAAATATCGGTCTTTCCATTCCAGGAACTTCCGGTCCATACCATCAACCCGCGCCTTGGCGACTGCGGTGAAGATGATATCCTGGACCGTAGCGACGTCTCGGAGCTGCTCGATGATGGAGGGCTTCCAGGTCAAGGGTGCCGGTCTCCAGTGCCGGTCTCCAGGTAGCTGTCCATGGGGGACTCTATACAAGAAGTTTCGCAGCTGTTTGGAGGTGACGTGAATTCCAGGCCTTCTCCAGTCAGGCTGCGATTGGAGATGGCTTCATATTTTGGTGTACATGAAGGTGATGGACAAAGGCCTGCTCCTGGTACATCTTGGCTATATTCCGCCCACTCGCATCCACCTCTTCTCTCTGAGCTGCGAAAAGTTTACTGATATGTGCTTCGGGCAAAGTGGCCTCGGGCAAAGAGCCTTTTTTGCCGCACCCCTCCTCCTCCTCCTGAGTATTACCGAAGCCAGAAACAGACTCCAGAGAGCTCTCGCAACCTGTGGTCCAGCACCGATGCAACCTTTAGATTTTCTTCCTTGCTGTGCTCACCATCAGTTTAGCGGAATCCTCTAACAGTGAGCATGATATTCGGCAATGTATCAGAGATTGCTGATGTTCCTTTGGAAAGAGTCTTTGTCGCAAGGCGCCATTTCTTTGTCGCTCCCTTGTTATGAGAAGGGGCATTTCTCACATGTGAAATGATGAACCATATCTTAGTTCCGTTTAATCTTAGATGTTCCAGGATGTTATTAATGCTATTGGTGATCCGGACTCAACTTACTACTATGTGGGAAGGTATCTTTGGTCAGATGTGAGTGTAGCAGGATATAAAGTGATTTTCTTCGTACATCCACATCCCTTACAAAGATTCAGTGACGACCACGTCACCAATTGCTGAAAAAAAGTAAATGAGATAACAAATACCGAAATAAGTCTGGTGAAAATCAAATAAAAGCAGTATGTATGCCAACAACTTGCTCCTACAAGAAGTATCGTCACTGACTGAGATGCTTAGCGGCAAAGTAGTAAACTAGGTGCGTAAATTAGACGTCTCAGGCTGAGGGCTATGCTTCTACTCAGCTTTCGTTTCGTCCCTTGGACGGGAGCTGAGACAGCTCTCCTTCCAACTCCCTCTCCCCCCGGCCACCCCAAATGTATCTTTTTTTCTAATTCTCAACTAACTCAACTAAATTGGTGAACTTACTTCGGTGGACACAAGGATATTCAGAAACCTGAACGTTGCAGTATGTCTTGCTACTGGTACTTTTTGGCTTGGTGCCTTACTTGTGCATTGATTATCATATGTTTTGTATACAGACTGATGTATGGGTGGTCCAAGAGAAGAAGGGTAGGTGTGCTATGATTCTCAAAGAATACCCGACGCTAATAACCATTGGAAGGGGGGGGGTATTCGCAAAGGGCTCCTTCTGGCAAAACTTTTCGCAATAAAGATGATGACTCTTGCTTTGACAAAAAGAAAAAAACCGGGAGAACCTCAGGGTTATGAACCCTGCAAGACTAACCGTACAATTCATTAAGCCCTGGTCTTTGCCATGTGTGAGGTGGATGGGCCTACAGCTTCAGAAACGTGCCACCGTCGGCCACGCTAACTTGTATTGGAAGAGATGACGGGACCATTCATCAACGCCTCTGTATCCTTCCCCTGAGGTGGTTTAGGCTTAGGGTGCGGTTGAGCGTTCTTACAAGCACGTTACACCACTTTTACTGCCCCAAAAAGTGCACCGGAATGAGACGGGAGCTGTGATGCGCCAGCCGTAACGGCCAGCCACACACTAATTATCGACCAATGCGTTGTTTATCGCTTCTGATCGTTCTCTTTCGCTTCGGTTGTTCTCTACCATTCAGTGTATACGCTGTGGGACCTCGGCATCGATGCAAGCGCTTCACCTGAGGATAGCGCGGGCAGGGTATGGAGATGTGTACGGTATCACTGCACTACAATCCCGTTCGCATACACCCTTGAGCCGTGAACGTGGCACGCTACTGCAGCTGCGGATCCCATTCATCTTGCCCATGGCAAGGCATCCTTAGAGGTGAGGGTACACACTCTCTGTAATGACGGTGCTTCTATCTGGATGACCTTAGTCCCTTCTTGCACTGGAAACCCTTTAAATGTCCCCTCCCCGAGACTATTGACGCCGAGTGTAGTGTCTGAAAGCCGCTGAGACCACAAAGTCGTGACGAATTTGCAGAAGTCAAGAAGGAAACCTCACAGAGTACGCATTGGCTTTATCGTGTTGACTTCTGTTGCTATAGTCTCATGCTATTTTATGGTCATCTTCTGGAAGGGCTTAACTGGTATTCAGTCAAGAGATCCCAAGGAAGAAATTCGTGGTGCTGTGATCATTTCTTTCCGATTATTTGTCACAAGTTGGTGGGCGCCAACCAGCGCAGTCTTGTCCACTGCGGGTGCTGAGTCGAGGCGTGATCTCCGTGCTGGGTTCAGCGCGCAGCGCTCGTTTTCCATCAGTCGCTGAAACAAGGAAGCGACAACAACTGGTGAAAAACCTGCTCGCGCCACGCCAAGCACAGCCTCCAACACGCCTGGCATCCACAGCGAACAATACTATGTAGGTCAAGACATCCTGCTTATCAGGAAAGAGCTGGACATTTTGTATCGACGTGGAACTCTTACCGTTCTATTTGGATTTGTTTGAAAATGCGATGTCCGAAGTAGACAATTCTGTCTGAGAACAATTTCTTAACTATTCATTTTATATTTTTTTCAGAAGACAGCAATTACTTGGACCATTTCGAAGATACAGTTGAATGCGGAATAGATATGGCACAGACCGCACTACTCAACGAGTTCCACAAGCAGAAAAGTGAAGAAAATTCCAAAGTTTCTACGGAATCACAAATCTCTGATGTGAGTTTTGGCAACTGAGCTTCAGGTGTGCTTTGTACTGGTAAGACCACAGTGAAGTTCGAATATGAAAGAGAAGTTGCTTGTTTGGGAAATTTGTGAAACAGTAAAAAGCCGCGGAGATTAGCGGGCAGGATTTCCCTCGTGCGACACTTGCATGAGACGTGGTAATTGCTAATCTTATCGAGTATGCCTTGGAGAATGAGTCGCAGCAAAAGGCGATTAGATTCAGAGAACTCGCCCAGAAGTTTGATTAACTCGTCCATTTTCAATCCCACACATGATGACTTTTTGACTTTAACGGGTTCTTTTGCTTTTTTCTTCTTTAGCATTGCACTTACAACATGATCTAATGGTTCTAAGCTCTAAAACCTGTGAAAGGCGATCGCGGCGGTCTTTAAAGGCATATGGCACGATAATTTGGTACTCGGTCTAAAATGCTAGCAGGGTGCTATATAGTGGGGAAAATGGCGAAAAACGAAGTGAAACGGTCAAAAACCTGCGAAGAAAGCCTTCGTTCTCAATGACTCAAAAAGCAATTTTGGACGAGTTTCCCGTAGGCATCTTGCCAATAACCGCTACGGTAGGTACGGCTGCACGTGTACTCATATATCCATGCAGCACCGCGGCCGCTTCATATCAATCCCTTCGCTTCATATTTTACTTAGCAAATGAAGCAATACGAGCATCAGGTACGGTCGTCCATTTGTGGGCGGGCGCGGTGGGCGTCCGGGTCGGTATGTTGCAGCTTGATAGGGCCTTATAAGGGTACCTTCCTTGGAAAAGGCGCTACGCAGCGCCTGCTCAGGGGCGCGGAACCCCGTCCTGCCAAGGCGTATTTATATAACTTGTCCGAGGATTTATCATGCTAACTTCCTTTAAACATGCAAGAGATTACCAGGGGAGGGTGGTTATGGTGGCTGTCACAGTAGATTCCAGCGCAGAGGAATCGCCGACCGAAATCGCGATTCGCAACAGGAAACATGTCGGTATACAACTACCAATATCACAACAAAGACGTGTTAGCAGTAGTGCAATCAAGTACAGTCCTCATCATTGCGGACCGGTGGGGCGTGTCAGCCAGAAGGAGTGCGCACACTGTTGAAGCCGTTCTCAGCCTTTTTTGTTGCAACGCGTATGCGACAAAAAGTGGTAGAAAACGAATACGAAGGATATAATACAGTAATGCACTTGCCCGCTTCAAAAACGGGTGCAGAACGACTTTGCCAAACCGCGCGGAATTGCCAGCCGGCCAATGCCCGCCCCACCGGTCCGCAATAATGAGGACTGTACCTCTTCTACTTCTACAGCATTGACTCGTTCAGCTTCTTCGATCTTCGCGAGCGAAACTGACGAAACTAGCAAATCTCACCGCAAACTGCAATCAAAGTGAAGTTGTTGAAGTGGTATGTGATTCATATATTTACTTTGGTTTTTTCGTTTTTCAACAACCACTACCCGATACAGAATGGTGTGACTCTCTGGAACATGACGCAGCTCATCCGATTCGGGTCGCTTGACAGCAGAAGAGCCCTTTGATATTCCCAGAGAAATCACTCGATAGTTCCTAAACTCGCCTATGATCAGGGGGGGGAGGAGGGAGTTGCACCAACACAATTCACACTCGGTGAATTCAATATTCGCAGTATCGCACACCCTGACTGCGCTCCGACAACGCTTAACCTAGTCCTGAATTCTCTATGATTCGCAAGCCTACTCGTCGTTCAAATCGATGAGAATATAAAAAATTTTCAGCACAATTATAGCCAGTATCTTGAGAAGAATGAAGCTCAACTTCAAAAACTGAATGAAGAAGTACGTCTTCAGATAATAGTTACAGCCCTATCGTAAAGAACACTAGCCAAATCCAAGGCAGCTCCAGTTATTTTTTGTAGGAAAGTAAGAAGCATAAGGTAACTGATGAAGACATCATATCAACAGTGAAGACATATCGCGACCACGTAAGCTCTGTAAGATTGCATCAATTCCATAAGGTTGACACTTATCACTCGAGGATAATATTTTCTTAATAACTCTGATTTTCTACGGTCCCTAGCCCTAAAACCAGCCACTAATCTCATTAATCATCGTATAGCTGATATCGTCGCAATAAGTCGGGGCGGTGTCAGGAGGGGCGGAATGAGCCCGCCCCGAGCTGCCTACTTCTACCAATAGTGTTCGGTTTGTGGCCGATTCAGAAAGAAAACAACTGGTGGTAAAAAAAACGCCACGGTTGGGCCCGTTTCATTCCTCCTGAGCAGCCCTGACTGATTTGCGAGGACCTCATCTGTACGATCTGGAACACTATCCGTAAAGACACTGTTCACTACGGAGGACAGCGTTCAGACTTCGCGAATATGCGCGACGACGCGCTGTAGCGCGCTGTAACGCGTCGACGAGTTACTATTGCCACGATGCCCCCAATGCTATAAACGCAACCGAA